ATTTTTCGTGTACACGGCAAACGTTTATAGTGGAACCCGCCTTTAAGATTTTTTTTAAACCATTCATTCCGACGTCAGTCGGTCGGAGATGATGTACCTGATCATCAGATACCCGGAAACGCATAAGCGCGCTTCCAACAGCAAAATATTTGCGGGCCTATACGGCTATGCCTACACACCCGCTGCCACCACCCTGCCCGCATGGGCGGCGTCCCGAATTCCCGAAACGAATAACGATGTACTCGGAGTTGTAGTCCAACGAGTATGGAGGCATTGAATAAAAAATACGGTCGTTCTACTACCACAATTAGTACCACTATGACGAAATATTTTTAAATATCGTTAATGGGGCACGCGCCGCGTGGGAGGGCATCGCTCCGTATTGATTGCCGCCCCGCGTACCTTACACACTATATCGGACAAGAGTAGGTACGTCGTACGTGTTGTATCACCACGTACGACGCAGCAAACACCGTTTAATGTATTACTTTACACGTACACGCTTCGGGGCGGCCAGCTGCTGCAGCAGGTACGTCGAGGCGCGTGTGGATTGTCTCCGCAGTCCGCAGCCGAGTACGTCTACTCCCCGCGACCCTTTCGTTACGTGATGTCGGCGGCGCGGGGGACGTCCTGCGGGCCGCCACCCATTGGCCCTGAACAGCTGATGACGTCCGTGACGTCACGGCGGAGCCGGACGCTGCGAGACGCCGCCGCCGCCGTCGGTTATCCACAATCCACTTATCCCCCACATGCTCACGCGGCGAGTTACACGCGTCACTGTACCGAGTAGCAACACGGCCGGCCCGGCAGTCCGGCACACACCGAACGTCGACGTCGCCGTTACCTCCTCCGTGTGTTTCGGTTTCGCCGCGCCGCCGTTATCCGTTCTCGTTAATACTATTATTTAGCGGTGTCGAGTGCCGACGACAATTCCGCGTCCGCATCAGCTGTGTTTGTATGCCGCGGCTGTCGACCCTCGCCGACGGTATTATTGTTTTGTTAATAAAGTAATATTATATGTATTTCTATAATAATAGGTTGGCTATTATTATTTAATGCCTTTACATATTATATTAGAAATCTCGACCGCCCATTTTCCGAAGGATCGCGGTAATTTTTAACGGTCCGTGATCGTGTTATATCGTCGTCGATTATTCAATATAATATATCTTTGAATTCAGAAACAGTCGTACCTATACGAGGTGAGTTTGAGTTTTTATCTTTGATTTTCGAATTCTCCGTCACCTACGACTTTATCATCGTATGCTACCTATACCTATAGATAACACTGTTATTATTATTGTTATTGTTGTTGTTGTATGGTATGTGGGAGAAAACCGGGAAAAGTTTTTAAAACCTTTGCGCTCTTTTTAAAACGTAACCGTTCTTGCCGGCTCGGATTCGAGTGGTGTCTGCCGCGTTCCGTCGAGAATTTCCCTCGTCGTTGTCTCGTCCAGACAGCGTAAAACCGTCGACGGCACTAATAATCGAAGCTCTAAGGACGTCAGCATGCGCCCAGTGGTAAGTGGGTCAGGATCGCGGTTATGATATAAGTAATGGTGCAATATGTTCCACTTTTTCTCCCCCTCCACCCACTCCCCTCGTCATCCACTCCACGTCGCTCGGCACGACTGCCGCCGTCGTCGTCGCCCGTCGAGATTCGCAAACGTTTTCTCAAAATATAGAGATAGATGGATGAAATTAATTTCTTGTGGTGTACAGACGACGTTACCTATATATTTCTCTCATACCCGATGGCCTATATTTCTCGTCACGCACAGTCCGTCGGCAAAATTGTCGTTTCGATTTTTCGACACGCATTAGTGCATTTACGCACCCGTAGTGGTGGCGACAGCCGGTCAGAGTCTCACGCAACACCCGGTAGCCATCAGACCCGCGTCGTTCCCATATAGTTTACAGATAATAATAATTATTATTATTATTATATGTCGCGCGTTAATTACCTACGTCGCACACACGCACACACACACACGTACGTGTGGAATTGTATATACACATTTTACACACATATTTATATGCCTAGTTCAGGGCCGTCCGACTTGTAATCTTGTACTTGACATTTATCAAACAATTTTCGTGTAAAACGTAATCGTTTCACTCGCGCGACGCGCCTGCGCTTGCGTGTGTGTATCCGTGTGTACGTGTGTGTGTGTGCGCGACAGTTGAGTGAGAGATCGCTGTTGCGCTTGCGCTCCGCTTACGGTTAGCGTGTGCGGTTGGTGGTTTGCTCGCACGTTTGTGTGTGTGTGTGTATACGTATATGTTGTGTGCGCGCGCGCGAGCCAGCAAACGATACCTCCGCGGTGCGCACCGTGCGTCCGTGCCACCGTTCCACTTCTGTTCGCCGCCAGTTTTCGTGCGACGACGACGTGCCGCAGCCGCCGTTACAACCAATTTTCGTTTTTCCGATTTCGGTTTTTTCCGCTGTCCGTCGCCCGTTTTCCAGGAATCGGGATTGTTCCCGCGGTCGACGACGACTGCTGCTGCCCGCCGCCGTCCACACCTATCGCTTTTCAATATAATACGCGCATACCTGCATAACGGTAAGCTAACTCTTCGGCTTGTCTGACAATACGCCGCGGTGTGTCCTGTACCCGTAATATATTATTATAAAGGATTATTATTACTATTATCATTGTTTCTTTGATGATTTTCGTTATTTGCGTATGTCGTATTAATCGTTTTCCGCTTCCCGGAAGACCGTTATTACAATATACTTTATATAACATAATATACATATGTATATCATGTATGTATGTGTGTGTTGGCGCGTGCTCACCCAGCAGCGGTGTGTACCGCTCCTGTACCTAATACCTATTACCTATCAATTGTAGTTTATATTGTGTCGTCGAGAGTACGACAGTCATTCGAGCTGCTGTAGTGTGTGCCTGCGATTTGTTCGCTGGATTTGTCGATCGCGCAAGTTTCAAGTTTATAGAGACAAAACCGAGCGTTCAAGGTTGACATTCTCACGGACGCGCGCTCTGCCCCGGTGCGGTGCGCGGCTAATAATAATACCGCCGCGACCAGTCGCTAATATAATATTATCGTTTGTTAATAATATTGTAATACTATATTATATTTATATTATATCGTATTACACACAGTATTACCTAGGTATATATGTACCAAATTAATGCCGACTCGAGTGCTCCATGTCGTTTTCGACAATATTAAATTGACAATCACCATTGGCGTCGGACGATAGGCACCTGTTCTTAGGAATTAGGATTTTAAGTCGTCTTTTTCGAAACAACTTGTTGTCGGTTGGGGGGGGGGGGCTTGTACTCGGCCATTTACGTCCTGGGCCGATACAATTATTACATATTACCCGGGTAGGTACACACGTATACAAATATTGTTACCTATAAATAATATGTACGAAAACGAAACTAATTATAATAATGAGAAAGTTATTGTTGCCCGAAGGTAATCACCTCTCTCCCATTCTATTAGTAAAATTTCGGCGCATAGTATTGCAACTTGTGAATTATCGACTAGGTACCTACCTACCTACCTATCATTCGAATTTAACAAGTTTTTGTACACATTGTTTTTAAAATAATACAAACGACACTTGGGTTACAACTTTTTCTTTTTTACACGTTTACGTCGAAATGTTTACCTATATCGCCTGTGTATCCTTGTTTTCAGAACCGAACGGAAAATATGGATTGGATATGATGACGAAAAAAATAATATTTATTGGGTTCTATACTTGGCTAAGTAAACATAGGCTTTTCGCAAATGTAATAGTGTAAAAGTGAAATTTGCTGATTGTGTCATTAACTCTTGAACTTGAAATACAATTAACAAAAAATCTCTACAATCATAACGAAGCCAGAAATTACAACTGAAAATGTCAAGTCTGATCATTTATTTTTTGTTTTCAAGGATTTCCAAACAAAAATTGTTATATATAATTTATTATATATATGTTGCTCAATTAAATCTATTTTTTTAATTTCCAGGAAGCAGAAGCTTTTATTTTTGTGATTAAAATTTCATATTGGGTCGACTTCCATGGTGGTGGTGGGAATTTGGTGTTTTCAGTTTGTCTCTACTTTCAATTACTTACATTTTATCTCTTTTAATTACTATATAATATCTTCTTTTATAAAAGATGGTTAAAACTTACACATTTACTTGTAGAAACGAAACTTAGCTGATATTATTCTAAGAGTGAGTACATTTACCTAATGATGGATGTATTCTATGATGAACAAGGAAATTTCGATCATCAGATTTTTGTCGTCTTCAAATCGCACATAACTTAAATACGATTATTCAAGATATATTTGCTGATAAATTTTACAATTAGGTAAGATTAACAGTACCACTACACGAGGATCTTAAATACTGCATTTTCAACAAATGTATACTTTATTATCATATTATATTGAGACTTAAACCTTTATTACTTATATCAAGTGATTTAATGTATCGTTTTAATAGTATTGACAACTTTTAGTAAGTATGTAGAATAAATTTTGTTAATATATAACAAAACTAATACATTTGTTGTCAATTTCAAAGATTACTATTAGGTACTGTTATATATTGTGTTGGGCAATAATGCAATATCTATACCTGAACCTACTCTTCATGGTAACTTTTTCAATTATAAAATTTTGTTACACCTACTTAAATTTTATATTTTTAAAAATATGTTTTATATTATATAGGTAAATATTTGTATCAAATCCTAGATCTGTATGTTCAATATGTGTTGATATTAAGGTGGAAGTAGGTTATAATTTAACTAATTTTAGATATTCGTAATATTATTGGAACAGTTGTGTTTGTTTTTGAAATTTGTAGGTACAGAATTATGTGTTTAAAAAATAGTGACTTCAATTACTGTTTTTGAAACTTATCCTTTTGTGTTAATGTTTCAGATTGGATTATGATAAAGCATTAATATAGCTTTCAAATTGATCTATTAACTAAATAATATTTAATATTATCTGTTATCTACCATGAGCGTTAATATTGGTCTTGAAGACTCATATCAAAATAGTCACAACGGTGCTTTTCAATCTTATAGGCCCATTAAAGCTCTGATGATGTATGTACAACGTAGAAATTCAATAATGGGGAATGAACCGTGTGACACCAATATTAGGATGCCCTCAAGTAGTTGGTCTGATAGTACATCGCAAAATATTCATCTCAAATTAACAGTAAGGAAATTTAATAAATAGTAGATCAATATATTTTCTTCACATTTATACTTTTTTACCAAATTTGAGAAACTATGGAGACCTATTAGATCATATTTTAGTTTTATTTTCTATAGTAAATTTTTAATTATATGATTTTTTTTTCTTAAAAATATAGCTGTAATTTATTTAGTATGCCTAAATAAATAATACTTAACTATCTTCGTTATAGTCAAATATTAGTCACAATAAATTGTTTTTTAATTATTCTTTGTGCAAAATAGACCAAATCTTAATTTATTAAAGAAAAATATTCAATGTGTTCCTTCTTGATTATAACTAAACTCAGTCATTTATAAACCAACAATCATTACATCTGCTACATGCCTACATTGTAATAATACATTTAATACATTTATTAAATATAAATATGTATTGAAATTATTTATTCAAGCACTTGTTTTTTATTGAATTTAACAACGTTTAATTTGTAAACAATTTATTTTCCAAAATTAAGAACATCTTATTTTGTTTTGTTATTTTATTATATCTTATTGTTTTTTATACATTTTAGTGTCAAGGAACATATCTTAAGGATTCAACTACATGGTCAGATATGCAATACGAAGCGGAAGACACAGTTAGTGAAATAAAATATTACTACCCAAAAAAGATGTTTTTGGAAAAAGCTGAAATGGTAAGATTAATATGCTTTAATTGTTATTACATAAGCTAATCGTAATAAAAGAACAGTTGGTATATTAAAGCTTTAATCTTAGTTATTAATTTTACGTTCTATCTTCCAATTCATAAAAAAAATGGTAGGTACCTATAGATTTTATTCTCTATAAATAATTTTATTATTGATTAGTAATTTAATGAATCATCTACCTAGTTATAAATTAAAATGTATAATCATTACTAAATTATCAAAAATATTTTATATTTTATCTAGTTATTTTTCATGCTAATAATAGTCTGTTACCTATAAAATACAATGAATAAAATAAAATAATTTTACTAAATGGCAAATGCATTATAATTCATTTCTCTCCAACTTTAAGTTATCTAATCTTAAATATTTGATTATCTTATAATATCAAATATATACATTTTCTTTATAAAAAAACATTCATTACTTGAAAAACGATTTTAAAATCAATAGTCTCCACACTATGTGAGGTACTGAGGAGGTACCTCTGTGCAATTCCACTTTGCTCATCTAAACTTTAAAATGTAAATATGTACTTATGATTTATAAGCTACTGGTTCAACGTTTGATTTTTATCTATCAAAATACTTCTGATAATATTCTGCTATGGAATGAAAAATGAAAAATGTATGTTACCTATCATTCTAAAAAGTAAAAAAAAACTAAAAAATATTGTTTTGTAATAACTTAAGAATATGTAAAAATAACATTTTTTTAAAAAAGGTTTGTACTTTTTTTGATTATAGAATCACTCTGCAGTCTGTACTGTATATACCTAATATTATATTGTTTGATGATGTATCAATATAAAATCATAACTATAAGTGTTATTTAAATTTAATTATTTGTTAATATTTTAATTATTAAGTACCTTATTCATCAATTTAATTTTATTGGAAATTTCTTGGGTTTTTTTTTTACCTATACTTACACTTATGACTAATAACGTGTCCATGGTTTTAATTGAGCTATAATTACTATAGTAAACAACAGTTAAAGTTGTGGCAGTATTTTATGGAATACAATGTAATTAATACTCTAAATTTGGCGTTAAAAGTTATTAAATAAAAGTCTTGTTGTCTAATCTAAGTTAATAGTTAATATTCCAAATTAATGACTTGCTATGATTTTAAATTTGATAATTTTACTATAATCATAATGGATTTTTTGATCTTAAAATTTGTTTGGTATACTCACAAATGAAGATATTATCTTTATACTGTACAGACCTTCTTTGAAATGTTTAAACTATAGTTTATGGTACATGGTTGTTTAGTTAGAATGATTGTTGGTTAACCACAGTTTAAATATGGGATTAAAGATTATGTTTTGGTAATTTTTTTTGATTGTTAAGCGTCGATTACACTGAGTGAATTTACTCGCTAATCGCTGGCGAATTAACTCGCTGCTACCAAAGGCGCTCAATGTAATCGGGCTAGTAGCTTACTCGCTGCTCTCCCGCGAATCAAGTTGAAGGCTGGGCTACTTAAGTCGCTAATCGCTGGTGTTTTTGCACTCCAGCGAGTAAAATCCCTCAATGTTAATTGAACAGGTCGGTCGCTACACTCTCACGCACGCTCGACTTTGTTTGCCAATGACTAGCGAGTAAATGTCAATGGTTTTGTTGCAGCTAAAAAATCTCTATTTTTTTTTTTTTGTTTAATCTTATAGGAAGCAGATCAAATTGATACAGCAGAGAAAAATGTATCTATCCAAAATCATTCTACTAACCATTTAGGAGTATCTACTAAATGTTTAAAAGAGACTATTCTTCAATGCCGTAATGCTTTCAAGGACGATCCTAAAAAGCCAAATACAGAAGCATCTGAGTTCCTACAACGTACTTTTGGTGATGTTACCAAGAATAATAATTTAGACACCGAGGAAAATATGAATCTCTGTGTTCAAACTGCTCAAGATCAAAAGACTGAACCATATTATCGGTCTGGGTACAAAAAGTTCACTTTAAGACGTAATGAAGAAGACTCAAATGACTCTAACGTTATAGAAACTCCTACAGTTATTGAACAGTTACCAGTTAACTTAATTGAACAAATTGAAGTAAATGAACCTAGAGGAAGAATTAATAGGGCTTGTAAAGGAGTACGTTACCAACAATTCATGAATGATACATTATCAAAACGTCAAAATAAAAAAATGTAAATACTGAAAAATCTATTAATAATTAAAAAAAAAATAATTAATTACTTTTTTTAGGGGACCAAAAAAGTCAGCAAGCACTGATGATACTGTGGCAAAACGTCGTAAGGGTAAGAAATGTAACATAAAAGAAGAAAATAATCAAGCTCCTGAAATAAATTCATTACCAATTCAATCTCGCCGTGAAACAAGAAATAGTGCCAAAGCAGCTGCACTGCGCAAACTAAAAGAAAACACTGACGAAATAATTGAAGATAATAAAAGAAAATTAATGTATGTTCCTTATTTGTTATTAGTAATATTACACAATATATCATGTACATATTATTTTGTAATGTATTTAACATATATTTTTTTTTTTTTTTTTTTTTGTAGCTCTGATGATATAACTAAAGAACTAGATTCTACTTCAATCATGGTAGTTCCTAAAAAACGTTTTAGGACAAAGTGTGTATTTATTTTATTAGTTGATTCATGATTAGGTAAATTTTTTTTTTATTTTATTTTATTATATATAATTTTAGTGAAAATGACAATAAATGTGAAACTGCTGAGGAACCTAAAAGACTGCCTTCCCCAATATCTTCAGAAGCTAGTTCCAGTAGATTATCAAGTCCAGAATCCAGTACCAGTAGTAGCTCTACACATGTTCACTATAAAAAGCGTGCATCACGGACATTTGCTGAAAGTCAAAGTAATACAAGTTAGTATTATTTTTATTGAACACAAATTCAACTCATCATATTGATTTTTATAATGATGGTTATATAGATCCTTCATCGTCTGACTCCAATGTCAACTTACAAACTTTGGCAGATGTTGCCTTGCGAGGTATTCCATTTTGATTTTCGAGTAAGTAGAATATACTTTAATTTTTTCTGACTAATGTTTTTGTTAATTTATATTTTTTTTTATTAATCATCCCTCGGCAACTTAGGCCATGGGGGTTGGGTACTGTAGGTTTTGGAACAGTAGATGTGTTACACGTGGGTGTATTTTTTGGCAGAATTTTGAATGGGGCAGTGGGGGGTGGCGGCACTTGTTCTCTGGACACCGTGACTTGCCCGGATAAAAATGCCGCCTGGTGGTCGAGAATCAAATCGGCGACCGGCAGCACCGCAGCTGACGCGTTAGACCGCTCGGCCACCTCGTCCCCCTTCATTTTTTTTATTGTTTATTTATCTGTTAAAAATTTTTCAATAAGAATGAAGTAAATATTCTTTAAATCCGATGTATGTAATATAATATATTGTTAGGTTATCTTTTTAGTATATCATTATGAGGTCATCATTCCAAAATTTGATATTTATCATTCATGCAGGATGTTGTTTATACCTAAAATATCGAGAATTAATTTTAGATTAATATTTCAAGAGATTGTGAAGTCTTTTTTCTTAATATTTCTAAATAAAAAGTTACTTCTGTTTAAAGTTACTAAAAATATATAAGTGCTTATACAGAGTTGAGTGGGCATGGACAGTGGAGCGCACTGGAGGGTTCAAGGGTAGCAGTTGCTACCCCTGATTTTTTTGGTAGGTGGATGGGTGGACCCCCTGGCTCCAAAATACTTACATCATGAAAAATTCTACTACTTATAAAAATATTGGAAATAAACTATTGAATATTTATAGGCTATAGCCATTAGTCTATTAGACAATATAGAGGTAACCAAAACAATTTGCTACCCCTATTTATTTTTGAGTGTGCTCAACTGGGCATGGATGTGTTGCATTTGTGTTTTTAAAGCAATAATAAATAAAAAGCATAGCTCAGTTAAACAGTGCACCATCTTCAATATCTTTATTATTCCTTACACTCAAGAAACCAAAGCCAAAAAAAAATATATTATCCTTCTAAAAAGTTAACTTAATTTCATTAAATAGATAGCACTACTTTGTTCTTTTCTGTGATACAAATTTACAATTATTCAATGAATACAAGTTTAGACTGTTTAGAGTAAATCATATTTCTATTTACTATCTCCACCTAACATGTATGACAGTCAAAAATATTTATTTGAATATTTTGATTTTTCTACAAAACTAAAATATAATTTAATCTAGTTTTAACATTAATGTTAAAGTTTTTTTGGAACTGTATTTACTTAGAATTAATTAATATTTAGTTTAAATAATCTTAAGATATTTATTTTACCTTAATTATTAATATACGTGTATATTTTTTGATTTTCAGTTAACAATTATTACCGGTTCTAAAAAAAAATATATTACCTGACCAGTGGCTCAGTGGAAGGTTGATATTCTCACTGGCTGTCATTTTTTAATAAAACAATACCAATTATTTGTTAAACAAATCTTAGATAAATTTATTTGCGATTAGAAGTTTGTATGATTTAATTTTATTGTAATTTGTTGGACAAAAAAAAGGGCCAAACATATTTTAAGTCCATTTACATTACACTTAACAATTTTAGTACAATTTTCTTATTTCTCTTGATAAGTTATATTTGTTTTTTTGTTTTTCTTAAGTTTTTTTTTTAACCATTGCCTACCTAAATAATAATTTTATATATTGCTCAAAAATATGATTGTGTATAAAAACAAAGCAACTGTTAAAATTGTATGTGTTATATTTCAAATGTTATTATGCTCAAAGTTTTAGTTAATTCATTTTATTCTTTTTACTATTAATAGTACCTACGTAAAATGTAGCAGTATCTTTATAAAAATCCTGTCTTGTTAAGCTAAAATAAGATCTGTGTAAATAATGATGGAAGATCAATCATTCCTATTTGTATTACTATAATATAGTATATTATCCATTTTCTATAATATTTTCTCAAAGTAACGTCTAAATTATTTTTTTAACTCAAATTTTCAATTACTTACCAGCACCTTAAATTTTTTAATTAATCCACACATTAATAATTTTAATGTACATAATATTGATCTCGAATTATGTATTCCATTAAATTTATATAAATTGTTAGGCATGTTTGACTATTACCCAAAGAACTAGAAAATTAGAAAATGTATATGTTTAAATCAACTGAGCAAACAATTCCTTTAGATGAAATGGTCACTGCCATCAGTAACATATTATATTTTTCTTTAATAAAAACTTGATACTTATTAAATGTGTCTTTTTACTCTATAATTTGAAAATAATATTTTTTTCATTCATAAGTATAATTTCAAACTTTTAAGTTTTTTTAATCATTTTTGTTAGTTACCTCTACATTAATGTTTAGAATTACCACTACCAAACATGTCAATTATAGAGTTACAAGTTCCTTTTTTTTTTTTAGCCTACCATTTGTTTATTAGTTATTTTTATTCATTTTGTTTGCAAATCAAAGGATTTTAGCAGTATTTGTTACTTGTTAAAATGTTGTATTTAAGTTATGTCTACATTTAATAATAAATATCTAAATTGTATATAAAATGTCTTGTAGCTCTAATTTAGTATTATTAAGAAAAAAAATTACCTAAGCAATACCTATACTATTGTTTCACAGTATAAATTAATTTCATTGATTATGTTTTTATTATTATTATTATGAATTATAACTAATTGCTTTGTCTATCATATTTTACATTTGTATTATGACCAAATCGATATTAGTAATATTATCAAACAAACGGTCAATTTGTACTGATTAAGTTTGACAAAAATGAGACACCACCCAAATACGATGGGTTTTATTGCGATTAATAAACGTTGTGTTTAATTTATTTGTATGTAGTTTTATTGTTTTATATTATGATGTTTAATCATTGATTAATTTATACACCATATGGCTTGATTTTGGAAACTGGATGATATCAATTATTGGCAAAACATCTTACAATATATTTTTTTATTTTCATTAAATAAATCTGTGAACATAAAATATTGATTATCAAACATCAAAATAAACTTTATTAAAATTTGTAACTAAATATGTCTACTCGTATAGTCGTATTAATAAAAATCAATATTTTATGTTACTCGCGAGTCTTTACTAACATTGAAACAATAAACAATTTCTAGTGTGCAATTTATTTTATTGCAATAAAAATAACTCATTTCAGTTAATCACTATACAAGCAAACAAATTTGTAAATAACTGATAAACATTAATAATATAATAAACAATATTGTTGAGATTCGAGACCGAGACGTAGTAACCTTGAAAAAATCACTAAATGTACTGTTTCATAGTGTACTTTAATAAAGTTTATTTTATTGTGGTCTGTACATACTTTATCAATTGTTTAATCTTTTGTAACAGCATTTTTTTATTAATCTTTGTTTACAATACATTACATTACAAAAACAATACATTACAACTTAATTGATATTTAATATACTGTGGAAAGTTTGAATTTGTTCAACCTATAGCTATAGCAGATGGACAAATTTTTATCAGGATTAAATACCTTAAAATTAAACCAAAGCACTGTGATTATCAATATTGGTTAATAATATTAGAATAATTTAGAACTTACTTATTTTGTAATTTATTAACTTTATATTATTATATACATATAATGGGTAGTATACTTATTAGTTATTCTGCTATTATATTATGTTTTTGAGTTATTTATCTCATTAACTCAAGTTTTTATCAATTTGAAGATTAAATATCATCTTCAACTTTTAACAAATTTGTTTTTTCTGAACTCTGGTTAGTATGGTTTTATACTTTTATGTTTTTAATTTATTGTTCAAAGATTAAACAATTTAACATGATAAGTACAGTCTACTGTACGTCTGTACTTGCCTAATTTAAAATTAATAATATAATATGCATTATTTAAAACGATAAAAAAACATGAGGTAGCTAGGTAGGTATTATAGGAGTTGGAAGGTCGCTGGGTTGCGTGTCCTTGATCTATAAAACATTACATTAAAAATACCAAACGGAACCACCTCGGTTTACCCGCAAATGGCGGAGAACTTTTAAACTAAAAAAACCGGGTTTTTCCCTTTTGCTTCCTGTCACTTTTTGAATACGGTCGGGAAATTTGAAAACCCTAATTAGGTATATCCACTCGAACCTCTAGCGATCAACGCATCGATATTGAACAAAACTTTTAAGAGGTACCTACCTAAGTTCCAAAACTATGATAATATTTTTGAGGAGTCAATTTTCAAAACCACCAATAGCAGTAATTATAAATTGTCTAGGTATACTGTATATTTTTAAAATAATAAGGTGTGGACTTCAAATAAGATTGTATCTGGTTTAAATTAAATAGGTGGATAAGGTAATAGTATGATAGTGGTTGGTTACAAAACCGCATCATCAATCTAAATTCCAAAATATAATTGCTTGTAGAAAGCAGCCATATATAGGCTATATGGCCCCATGTAGGTAGGTACATCCGACAAACGTATATATGAATGCCGCCTATAATAATGTTATATTCGTTTCTTTTTTGATTTCGGGAGACCAAGAATATTTAAAAATGTTTATAACTATTAACTTCTAGTAGGTACCTGGTACATATGCGGTCTACGACAATTTAATTTTTCATAACATTTCGCCTGGGACTGCTGCTTTGGCTACCAATATATACCATGTAATAATAATATGTGTGACGACGAGACAGGTCAGGTCACACGTCTTATCGATACTTCTTCTTACTGGTTCAATGAAAGTTATTCAAGGCTACAGCTTTGTATATTATTGCAATATTATATAGTTGTAGGTACCTACCTATAACCGTTCGTACAAGCGAAAAAACGAAACTGTAATATATTTGGTGTGTACACGAACGAGTTTTCGATGTTTATTTAGACATGTAAATATTTTATTTCACCGATTAAAACGTGTACATATAAATAAATATAATATGTACGGCTCCTGTATGGTAACATAGCAGGTACATATTGTGCTCGGTTGTGGGACGTTTCCGATCGGACGACGGACCTGTAGCACGCTTACGTGTCACGGTTTACATAATAAATAAATAAATTATAATAATAATGATGATGATGCGGCGAGTGATGTATCATGAGCTGGTCGCCAACGGCACCGGTGCAGGTTTATTTCCTTGCAGCAGCAAGCCCACGAGCTTCCTCTCGGCCTTTTCCATTTCCTCGGCTTGCTGTGCCTGTTGGCCCGCACCGGAATCTGCAAGCACCGTGCTGGTCAGCTGTAACGCCAGTCCTGGGAGCTCTTTCAGCGAATAACTGACCGGCTTGTGCGATTCGTATTCCACACCGCCCTCGTTGTCGTCGTCATCGTCGTCGCCTCCACCGCCGTGGTGTTCTAACGCTGGTACAAAGTGCTCGTAACTGGGCGGCTTGTCGAATCCTGCGAAGAAAACGGGTAGTGTAAGTTATTATAATATTAGGTCAGTCCAGAATTTTCAAGCCCTAAAATCGTCCGTAAGAGGACGCTTGGACACCACACCCTCATGTGTTGCCTCCGTCTTCCAAGTGCGGAACATAGTAAATGTATACGCTCAGCAGATCACGTTTAGCTCCTTTGGTTTAAAAATTAGAATGAATTGACCTATTATGAAACTTAATGCAAGAACATCATCTGTGTTCGTATGCTGGTGTTTACGATTATTCAGTTTTTAAGTGAGTTATGAAAGCATTTTTAATTTACCTACTCTATAATGTTATGCATAACTTGCTAAAAATTGAACTATCGTAAAAAAACCAACAGATAATGTTCTTACCATCAAATTTCATAATAGGTCGATTCACTCTTGTTTTTAAACTAACAGAGCTAAACGCCTAAACGTGATCTGCTGAGCGTAATTTTGCTATGTTACGCACTTCCGAGTCGGAGACACACATGCGGGTGTGGCTGCCACTTAAAAAAAGTGTATTACCTACAATATTTGTATATGATTTCAGATTACCAATAGAGTACATATACTTACATTCATCGACACACCTACACGAGAAACTGCCTCAAAAAACAGTCTTGAAACAGTTAAGCTAGGTATAAATGTTTTTAGATATAGGTATAATCTACTATGGGTAATAAATAATTTGCAGGGGTGAAGTGATCAGAGGCCATGATGGAGTGCAGATATGTTGCCAGACATTTTACGGCATGACCCTTTTTAACACTTTTCTTAAGTTTGGTTACACGTCTGTCTGTGATCAAATCTTGCGCGCTCGATTTGAGGCACTTTTTGAAGATGAAAAATTCTGAAAATTTGTATAGACCTTGGTCTTGGATGACAATACAATAATCCGTAAAAAAATTTTTTTTAACTAAAAAGTAGAAAATAAAAAATTAAAAAATTATTTTTTAAAAACACACTTTTCTAAAAAAACAAAAAAATAATGAAAAATTTAAAAGTGTGTGGCGCTCTTAAACTTGACATATTATACCACACACTTTTAAATTTTTCATTATTTTTTTGTTTTTTTAGAAAAGTGTGTTTTTAAAAAATAATTTTTTAAAATGTAATACATTTTGGCAACCCACGACATACCAATGTCCCTTTATTTTTCACACGAATAAAGAATATTGTTATTTACAATGGTTAATTTTAATATATTCGTATCAAAAATCAATATAGCTTGCCATCACAGTTTGGGAATACCTCTGCATAGATCATATAGTGCATCCCTCCACCAGGAATCACATACCACTGACACTCCCTCGTCCTTCAAAACCTTAATATAATTAATTATCAATCATGCCTGTACGCATAATCAGGATATTGTAATACACATTACTATTTTGTTATATTTATTAGTTACCCGTAGCCAACGAGTACGTGATCGCCCATGTGATGCCCTTGGCCACGTTGACGAGCAGTGGTTCGATGATGGCGCCCACGAGCGGCGCTAGCACTTTTCCAATGATCAGTATCAGGTGGACGACCGAAAGTTTCCCGCCGTGGCCGTGTTCCTTGTGCGCCGACTTCGCGGCCATCCTGTACAGCGGAAGGGCTTCCTTGAGCGTCGCTTGGATCTGCCGCACGTTAACCGACGACAGTGTTGATACCGCAGCCGACGCGGACGCCGTTGCATCAGGAACTTCGGGACGACCATGTGCACAGCTTGCTAACGCCAACGCCGCCAGCATAGAGCATACGACGAACGTGACGGATTTCTGCAGCTACAAAGTTTAGATTCGAGTCGATTACATTTTTAGTGAATATTTAATAATACTATTATATTGCCTACCTATATATTATTTTTAAAAAAGGGCATCTCATATAGGCTTTTTGTTATATTTTAATCTTAATTATGAGTATTTTACAACTGTGCATCGCGGTTTGTAGATCTTAAAATACTCATAAATAGCTTTAAAATTAAAATATAACAAAAAGTCTATGAGATTCTCTAGACAATATTATAATCTTACCTTCAAATTATATAAGCGGTCAAGTAACTCTAATTTTTAAACTAAAAGAGCTAAACGTGATCCGAAAATGTGTGATGTTAAGAATACTTGCATATGCTAAATTTGGGGGGGGGGGGGGGTGCTTAAGGTGCTTATCTTCCCCAAAATTCATATTAGCACCCCCAAATTTTTGATAGAATCATCGAATTTATATTAACTATTATATTATGCCATAGGTATTGGAATACATTTATTTCTAAGACCTTATATTTTTCATAATAATAATAATACATCAATACATGTATTACCTATGCATAGGTACCTATCAGAATACTGTCCTATATGAACAATTAAAGTTTTTGTATTTTTTTCCATGACAAAACCACTTTAAATTTTTTGATTCTTAAACGGCAATATCAATAACCAATACCTATTTTTAATTTCAAAATTAGAAATGAGCATTGATATTGAATGAAAAGTTTTTTTATTGATGAAATAATAGGTACTTTCTAATAATAATATAGACAAAAGTCTTAACTCTGCAGATTGATAATAATAAAAAAATAAATAGTTCATTCAATATTCGATATTATATATTTATATTTTAAACATATCAACAAATTAAAATTATATATATCTTGCAATTTAAAAATCAAAAGGTTGTTTGTGGTATTTTAGTTTCACCGACAAAATAACACGAGGATAAAAAACAAGGGCAATATATTCGCTGATATAAAATAACAAAACAAATTGAACGAATTAGGTACCGCGGTTCGAACGTAGGTACTTATAGGTTCTTGCGACAATATTATAATAAATCATACATTATGTGTCCGATATGCTATATATAGGTATGATAATATACGATGGTCACTGTACTTACAAAAGTCATTTTTGTTGTCCTTGACGTCAGTGTTGTCCGTGTAAAATTGTTCGCGAAATTATCCGCCGTGTTATTAATGTGTTACTTATGTTTAATAATAGCGAACAATAATAGAATATTGTTGTCAGAATACCTATTGCAAAACTCACAATTTTGACTGTGTGGAATCGACTTGATGGAATGACGCCCTAACGCCTGCAGTTGTAGGTTTATAAGTATGTTTGACATCCGTAAGTACTTACCTACATCATATATTAAACGCCATCAATTAATTATCGATTTGTTTTCAAATTAGGATGTATATCAATGTCTAACGACTAACAATAAATATTACATTCGTGTACAACCCAACTCCTATGTCGTTAAATAGTCTTAGAATTTGTCGAAGATTTTTACCGGATATGCATTAAATGGTACCTATATAATGTATGGCTAACGGTGGCATGTGCATTTTGTATAATTACATTGGACTAGTTTCAAAATGTCCATTCTCAATATCGGGTTCACTTGATTTATGATCATTATAATTGTGTCTAGGATTACCTATTTAATTATCTTTCTAAAATAGCAGTAATTTTAAATTGCCATATAGTTTTTACTTACAATTAAATGTATAGAAAACAAGTAAACCTTATTATATGTTTCGTTCGACGATTTTTGAATTAAATTATTTTACAATTTTTAAAAATTATTAAAATTAATTTTATATGGACTAATGTGGACCATAATTCGTTATGCACTCTGCAGGTATATATCATTAATTAATGATCAATATTTTATTAGTAAAATGTATCATATTATTATTATTTTTTAGACATCTAAGTTAAATTATTACGTTATATAATACCTACTTACTAAAATTTAATTCACTGATAAGTATATAGCATTAGATTAAAATATTAAATATGAGTAGACAATATCATCAGTGGCATTTTAATATTTAGATATTTACTATGAAAATATTAAGTATAGATCCAATAGGTATAGTCTACATATAATAAAGTAACAACAGTACATATAGTACATACTTAAAATAATATAACATGTAATTATAGTCAATAAAATAAATAGCTTAATAAACGAAAAGTTAATTTCATAGACTACCTACTATAGCTATAGCCTATAGGTAACCTATGTAGGAATAAAAACTGAACATAATATAGATACCTAGGTACCTAACTAGTTATGTTCATATTATCTACCATTCATTATAAATACGATTATTTATCATCAATGAATAATGATATTACTTATTTTTTAGACATTTATTTGGTGTTTTAGTGATTTATATTATATACAATATTATAGGTAGATGGTTAATGTCTAATGATATAAGGTATACCAGCCAATTACCAAGTACTTATACAAGTGGTAACGTAATATTATGATATAAACTAATAATTATTTAATTTCTAAATTATAAAAGATGAATTAAACCCACACAATTAGCATATTCTCATATTAATAATATTATAGTGTATGTTTCTCCTCACTAAACAATTACATTTGTATATTTTTAAATTGAAATATCTAACACAGGTACGACGGATAAACGTAGTATGAAATATGAATATTTAGTTCAGATTTGAGTTACCTATTCATTTATGTATAAAAAATAATAACTAAATATTAGAGATTAGAAAAGTTTAGTTATTACTTATTAAATTACTGTATACACAAGTGTATAAATATGTCAGTATTTTTTTTTTATCTTCTGAACCTGCTTCATATCAATATTCAGCTGTACAAATAACTGGATATTCTTTATAAAACAATACAATTATTAGACATTAATTGTTTTAAAGGTATATTATGTATGCCATATTATTTTATATAATATATTGTATATTACAATCCTAATTTTTCATTTGGAACCCAAGCAATACCACTGGAGAGCTTTAAAATGGCTTAGTGTATTCAATAGGAATTTCATTGTTTTTTTAAAATGTAAAATAGCAATACTAATTTCAATACTGGCTTGTTATTCCGAGGTCAGAAAAATGACTGTAACTAGTGTAACTTGTCTGTTTACCTAACTTATTAAATATTAAAATAGATAATAATATTGTTATTATAAATTGATATTGGATTAGGTTCAGGAATATGATTCGACATTAATTTTACCAGTTAGAAAAGCTATTCATAGATCTTTAGTATTTTACCATATATACATAATATACATATATTATAGGTCGATATAGGTATTTGCTACTTACGAAGATTAGTCTACTTACTAATTATTATTAGTTACATATTACTTATTATAGTTTAATAAATTTTTAAATTCATATTAATAAATTATAATTCCTTTAATTTTTATACCGTATATTATAATTTTTAGTAGGTATTGTAAACTGCTGTTATCAATCTTTAATTTTCGTTTTCTTTCTTGATGTTAATTTAATAAGTGCATAATTTGTTGTTAGGTTAACATATTATTGTAATTGTCAACTATTAACTGATGAGCTATCTGCCCGAATCGTTTTTCTTATACAATGATATTACCTATATCAGGGGTGTCCAACCCGCGGCCCGCGGGCCACATGCGGACCGCAATAAATTTTGATGCGGCCCTCACTTCAATTTTAAAACCATGAATTAATTATACATAATATATTAATATTACGAGAACAAATTTATTTTAAAAATATAAACCAACCATCAAATAACGCTTATGGATTTAGCTTTTTTAGTTGACATACTACTCATTTAAATGAGTTAAACGTACGTCTTCAAGGTAAAAATCAACTCATTAGTAATATGTTTCAAATAATAACTGCCTTTGAACTGAAACTTAAATTATAGCAAAGTCAAGTTAAGGTGAATAATTTTATGTATTTCCCTGTGTAATGTGTTGGCCGAATACAATCCCAAGAATAACGAGGAATATGCTTCTTTGATTTTAGTTTCAATTAATGAATTTGAAACCCGTTTTCAAGATTTTCGTAAGAATAGTCAACTCTTAGCTATTTTCGCAACACCATTTTCGGTTGATATTACTGCTGTGGAAACTAAATTTCAAGTGGAATACATTGAGTTGCAATCATCTGATATTCAACTCAAAGAAAAATTCAATCAGTCATCTTTATTAGATTTTTATAAATTATATCTACCCAAAGAAACATATCCAGTCCTTCATGACCATGTCTTATTCATGTTCTCGCTTTTCGGCAGTACCTACTTACATTTGCGAACAATTGTTTTCAAGAATGAAAAACATAAAGAGTAAGAATCGGTTCACTATATCAGACAAGCACCTTGAAAGTTGTTTAAGGATTTCCACAACTTCAATCGATCCAGATATTGATTCATTATACCAGAGACGGATTTACACAATTGCCGCCCCTAGGCAATTTTTTTTTGCCGCCCCATTAAACTTATCAACGAGAAAATGAATTTTAGATTCTGAGTGAAACGATGAATGTATTGATTTTACAATGATGTGTGTTTTTTTATTTTTTTATTTTTTTATTTTTTTATTTTTTTATTTTTTTATTTTTTTATTTTTTTTGTATCTGTGTACACGATAAGTAGTCGAAATAATGCTTCGATTTTCGACTTCAGTATCTTGTTCGATTGGAAAGTGAATATCGTTGGTGCATTGGGGAGGTCAAAATTTAAATTTCCCAGTAGTTTTCACAAGCGCCGGGAAAAACAACATAAAAATTAAGGAAAAACGGGAATTTTTACGCAAAATTGATTTTCCAAAAAATCGATTTTGGTTATTGGTGTAACTCTAAAACAAATGAACGTATATACATGAAATTTTCACTGGTTGTTTATATTTGCATTTTCTATACACGATAACATTTTCAAAATATTTTGATTTATTTTGAACTGTTTAGGGACATTTTCATTTTCCATTTTTTTTTAGTTTTTTTTCTAAAAATTTCAATAAAATTTTATTTGTTGGTTGCGAAAGCTTGAAAATTTAATAGAAGGCTCCTAATATGTTGTTTCAAAGGCAGATGAAAAATATTAAAAATCCTTAGTCACAATTTTTTTTTATAAGCATTTAAAGTTCAAAAATTGACAAAATATGGAAAAATCACGAAAATTAGCAAATTATTTTGAGTTAAGAATTCGTAAAAATTTTTCTTTTTAAATCTAAGATTTGAAAATCTAATACAAGATTACTCATAAGATTGTCTACCTTTATCAATAAAAAAATTTCTACCGGAAAGTCAAATTAAATTTTTATGAGCGTTTGAAATTCAAATTTTTACAACATTGGATATTCACTCGATTTCTCATGTGGCAATTTCCTTTTTTTGTTGTAATTAAAAAACGAATTACTGTAGATACATGAAAATTTCACTGAATGTTTATATTAGCATTTCCTATACACCCTACAATTTTGAAAATATTTTGACACTTTTTGAGCCGTTTACGGACATTTTCAGTTTTCAATTTTTTTAGTTTTTTTTTTCTATAAATATCAATTAAGTTTTATCTGTTGGGCCAAAAAGTGTAAAAATTTAATACAAGGCTCCAGATATATTGTTACAATATCAGTTGAAAAATATTAAAAATACATAGGCACAATTTTTTTTATAAGCATTTTAACATCGAATTTTGATAGAATTTTTCAAAATCTCGAAAATTATTAATCATCGTAATTAATAAATTATAAAATGTTCAGTTTTTATAGCTAAGGATTGAAAATTTAAAACAAGATTCCCACGTAAGTAGTTAATTCTCTTACCGAAAAATCTAAAAAATATACAATCACAGTTTACTTTTATAGTCATTTTATGTTCAAATTTGGACGAAATTACATATTAAAAAACCTAGTTATTTTGTTGTGATTATATAATATTATTCGTGGGTACCTACTTGAAACTTCTAAAGTGTACTATTATATATATATGATAGTATCAGGGTTTGTTGTTGATGTTGATGTATAACGTGTTATAAGTACCTAATGGATATTGTGATAATGTGATATGATTAATTTGGAATTTATTATAGGTCAATTTTTTTTTTAATACCATAGATATGTATATAATTTGTATTAAACCTAGACTGACATACCGTCTTCGCTCAGAATCGTTTTTCTTATACAATGATATTGTATCATTGAATTCAAATTTAATAGCATCCATTATACAGTGACCCACTTGTAACCTACTGTACAGCAGAGCGACATCCACTTACCCACCTTTTTAAATACTCATTTAACATAAGTACTAAAAAAAAAAATCATAAAGACTGATGAACTCAACTAAACAATAATTAATGGCAGTTATGTTAATAAACTGTTCTAATAAAATGTGTTTATAAAATATAGTGTTTATTTACCAGTAATTTAAGTAGTAAACTAATAACCAAATATGAAGTCTATCCGCCTTGAATGTTGTGTTGAAAATAATCGAATGTCTAATCAGAATAAACCTATTTTTTACTCGGCCGCTCTCTATTTCATAGACTCCGAAGAAAAATAGTTCCGAAGAAAAATAAACAATTATTACATAATTTTATCTTTTGGATAGAAAAAGTTTTATTTTTGTACACATAATGCATAGTACGTACGAGTATATTATATAAAAATATTCACAGTAACTGGTTTATAATTAGACTATCGTTCCAATACGAATCGATCGTCACCCTTAATCCTTATTCGTATTAAATATATCATATCTGTATGTATTGTGCGTGTAGTGTTTGTACTGTGTACGCCGTGCGATCAAACGAACTTATTAATAATAATTATTACGACTTAGCAAAAAAACAAATTAACGAAATATGTTATCCATGTTTAGTATTTAGATAATAGATCTACGTTCCGGCAGTCGTTAGATAATTTACTTGGACGTTTATTGTTTTGTATTACAAAATAAAGAAGAAATTATATTTACAAGAATATTATTATACTTAAATATTAAACATTTTTTTTCCATCCTTCAGAGTAATCACCGTACATTAGAAAATCAAAAAGAAACTTAGAGTATTCTCAATAAAATATTGACCTAAAATTGCCGCCCCTAAAAATTTGCCGCCCTAGGCAACTGCCTACTTTGCCTGACGCTAAATCCGCCACTGCATTATACTTTCACAAAAAAGGAAATTTCAAATTTCACATTAAAAAAAAACTAATGACTTTAACTTTTTTAAACTAAAACTTTTTTTATTATAAATAAATATATTTTTCTGTGTACTTATAATTGAATTATTAAATATTAATAATTGTAAAAATATTTCTGCTTATTATTCGCTATTGTAAAATTATAAAAAAATGTATTGTTGTATTATAGATTATAATTTAATCATTAAATTTGAATGTATTATTATTAAAAAAAGTATGTGGCCCACAACAACTTCTACCTATATGATGTGGCCCAGTCTTCACAAAAGGTTGGACACCCCTGACCTATATCATTGAATTCATATTAAATACCATCCATTATACAGTGACCCATTTGTAACCTACTTTAAATCAGAGGGACACACCCACTTGCCACCTTTTTTTTTATTGATATTTTAAAATTTAAAGTAACTTATTTATTACTATTAGCCGTTAATAGATCGGAAAGTTATTAGTTAAGTTTTTGCCAAAAACATTGCATTTATTGTATTAATTAATATTTAATATTATATAATATTGTCTATGTTTCTATCAATTATATAATTGTTATTTATTTTTGAGTTAATATCACCTTACCATAGAATATTAAAGTAAATATTTTGAAAATGTCATTGCACATAAAGTACAATTTATATATTTTTATAAATCCCCACGAATACCTAATGCTTTTGAATTATAACGAAACAACTAACATTCATCGTTTATACATTTAATTTCGTCCAAATTTGAACTCAAAAATATTTCTATAAAAAAAAACTGGTGATATATTTTTAGATTCTGAGCGGAGCGAGGAAGCTAGTTGTTTTAGAATGATGTTTATTTCCTGTTAACATCATTTCAACCAGAAGGAATGCTTCGATTTTAACATGTATAGTATCTTATCTTTTAGCAATTCGGATCAAGATGGTATTTTAGAGAGGTAATTTTTCATTTTATTTTTAAAGCCACGGGAAAAAGCACAGCAATTTAATTTCCTAACGATTTGTTTACAGTCCATATAAACGAATAAAATGTAAAAATTACCTAATTCCCACTAGGTATATTATATACAATTAATGGTTATACTTATTAGATATTACTACATATTTATGATTTATATATTTTCTATATCGTCCACTCAGAATCGTTTTTTATCGAATGCTATCATCGTTGCATTCAAATCGAATACCGTAATAATACACTATCCTGTACAAAGACGGAAGGGACGATGGACAAACTTCCACCACCACTGACCTACTCCACCCCTCTGCACTTACCCATTTTTTGAATAAATTTTTTGGTTACAATATTAACTAGATACTTATGAGAAACTTCGTTTTTAATTTTCGATCCTTAGCTGAAAAAATTGAAAATTTTATGAACTGTTAACTACAAAATAATTTGCAAATTTAGGTGTTTTTGATGAGCTTTATCAAAATATTAATTCATATTTTATATAGCTTTAAAAAAATTCGAACTTCAGACTCCAAAAAATTTTTTTTTAAATTACATATATAAATAATAACAACTTTTGAGGGACCTTATAATAAATTTTCAAGTTTTTTGACCTATAGTAGAAAATGTTGTATCGACAATAATTTCAAAAAAATAATAAAAATGGAAAATAATCAAAATATTCCTAACCATTTTATACATTTTATTATTATTATTAAATTTTATTAGCATTTTAGAATGTTAATAAAATGTTTTTGAAAACTAGTGGGAGTTTTCAATTTTGACCTCTGAAATGCATCAATAATAGATTCACTTTTCACCCGAAAAGTTACTGAAGTTGAAAATCAAAGCATTATTTCGATTACTTATCAGTTATCAATTATCATGTACACTAACACAAAAAAATACACATAACATTGTAAATCAATACATTCATAGCTCCACTCAGAATCTAAAATATATAAACAAAGATAGCGTATCGAAAATTATCATTAAATGCATATAATTAATAATATACATGTTTGTCACGTACAACAGTAAGCTCGTATGAAAAATACTCCAATATCAATGGTATCAGTTATTTAGAGTTATAAAAATAGGTTTCCAATTGCGAGGTCGGTGGAAAAAGTTTTTTTTTATGTGTGTGTTCGTGGCGTAATGATCGAATGTCTGCGGCTTAGTCGTACGGTCAAGCACGACCACGGACCGCCAATGCCCTAATCACTACCCGTGGACCCCAGAGGGTCCGCTGAAAACATATTGAGAAACATCAAACACTGTTTACTGTTATACTGCGCTTCATAAAATATTGATTTAATATTTATTCATTTTAGAAGTAGAATAATGATTTTTAACTATACTTATAACTATTTATATCTTTAGGTGAGTATCTAAGTCTGGAATATGGAATTGTACAAAAATAACACGGAAGATATTTTCGTATTGATATAATCAAGAAAACTGCGTATGGATTTTCATATTTGTGTATGTAATGATGATATGATATAGATGAATATAATATTAGGTTAATAATAAATTTCAAAATGCATACATATAATATTTATATACAAAATTCACCTTAATCTATATAATAATAATGATAAAAATATAACTAATAATAAAAAAAGTATTATTAATAAAATCATTATTATCAGGTATGGTACATAAATCGTTCAACATGTTTGAGTGTTCCTGATCACGCCGTTCGAACACACGTTTGTATGTCCGTGGCTGACTAGTTTCTCACAAAGCGTTGATTCAAAGTTCAAGAAAGCCTGATTTTGATCTTTTTCGTTGAATACCTGGAGGGACAACAAAACGTGAGAAATTAAAAAAAAATCTACATCATGATATTATTGTACTACTGTTTATGAAATACACAGGTACTTAAAAAATATACTCTACGCGTACATCGTCAAACACTATAGTAGGCACGAATAGTGGTCCAGGTGTCATTGTTTTGGTTTCTATTTCAGCTTTGAGCATCATTTCGTAGCCCTCCGACGAAGTAAAACATTTTTGCACTTGGTCAACGTTCAAGCCGCTTTCTTCGACACACTGAAACGAATTTAAAATTAATAATTGATAATGTTTTTTTTCAACTGCACAGAAAAAAACATAATATATGTGATTATACGTGATGCGTTTATATTTAAATAAGATATTTCTGATAAATTGAGTTAAAGGTATATATTTTTTGGGCAGTGATATACTTCTTAAGGTGGACGCGTTCAATTTTTTTTAATCTGTATATTCATGTAATTATAAAAAGTTAGTTAAAATGTTAGTTTAATTTGAAATTGATTTAAATTATTATTATTTTTACTATTTACTATTATATAATAGTTGCCTTTTTTTAATAAAATTGTGTATATTCATATTATTGCGAATACAAAAACTAAAAATTCCTTGGTAGAATAATAATGTATAAACGAAGTTATTTCAGACTCTGAAGAGTGTACCATCGGGAGAGTTTACTGGTCAATAAAAACGGTAGAGTTTACAATCGCTTATTTTTTTCAATACTTTACTCCAACTAATATATTTTTCATTGATAAGTAGAAGGCTGTCAACCTAAAATCACTTCCTCCCTGGGTGGAAGGTATTCCCGTTTAATATCACCCCTGTTTAGAGCTATGGTGTATACCTACTACCTAGGTACCCTTTTTAATAATATTATAATAAACTCAGTTGTGTCAATGATTCAGTAGGTACCTACCTAGATACATAATACAGCTATTTGTTATTAAGAAAAAATGTGTAGTTGGAAAAAGTTATTATATTTCACCTGCAGTTACCATCATGCTTATCCGTTACTATAATAGGTATAGTAAGCATAGGTATACTATTAAATTTACTTTCTATATTGCTATATGTACTCAAATTGTATCCGTATAATTGTTAAAAAGTACCGTTTTCTCAATGTGTCCTGGTTGGTCCGGATCGTACATGGCACAATTCACATAGTCTACTTGAGCTTTAGAATCTTGTATGCGTTTTAACACACAGTTATGTATAGTATTACCACGACATTCTTTAGGTCCATGCTGGCAAGTAAAACCCTGGTCCGAACTCTAAAATTAAAAAAAAAAAAAAACAATATTAATGTAGTTCATCAGTCACTTATCGTTTTTTTTTTTACACGGTGTATGGAAGAGTGTTTTTATTGGGATATAAGTATATAACTACGATAATATTCATATTATATTGAATTTATGTGGGAAGAAAGTATTCGCTGGGGAAGCCGGCGCATGCCCGGCTCCCACCATAGTCACGCCTATGCTTATAATATATTTAAATCTATATACATCCTATATTATTCTTACAAATTAAATTATAAATTCCGAGCAATCCCCTCGCCGGAAGTCGGCTATAAATTTAAACCGAGAACCAAGTACCAATATTATAGTAGAGCTTATTGTCTTGCGGAATGCATCGGAAGGCGAACATCTCGGTTTAACGGTATAGGTACCTATACAATATTAATTATGTATGAAATGAGTACGGAACAACTTTTAAGATGGACACTGAAGAAACGACCGAGTTTGATAAGCTGAATTTTAGACAAAACTAATAATATGAATATGTCTGTTCCATCATCTTCCATTCTATAATAAACCAATTTATCTATGAAGTTTCAACAAATTTAGATTTATATAAATATATAATTATAAATATTGTGTCATCATTGCATGTAAACACTATAAACAGTGCATCTTTTAGGAACCTATAATATATACCTATTTTCTGCACTATTTAAGTATGCCACTGGTTCTTAGAATGTACCTACATTATAGGCTATAGCTATATATGAGTATAATGAAGTATGTAGATTATAGAACATGTAATAATTAATTTTTATGGGTAGTACTTATATTGTAGTTTGTAGTTTTAAGTTTTGTACTAATAAGATTATTACTTTTTGAATAATTAAAGTACCTAGGTAATTACATTTTGAGACAACGTCTGTCATTACATATTAAACATTTAATTGGACTGTTAATTATATGTTCTTCATATTAAACCAGAGGCGGATACAATGGGAGGGGGCGAAGGCTAAAGGGCTAAAAGGCCAATTTAGTCAAAAATAGGTTATTCAATTTTTGAAAACTCGCCCCCCCCCCTCCATTGGGTGAATTCTGGATCCGCTACTGCATTAAACTTGATAGATATCGAATTAAATTATTTATAAGAAATACCATCGACTCACCTACTAAAAATTATCTTGTTCCTAAATGCACGTACATAATATGCAGGTTATGGTTCAGTTTTTCTAACGATGGCTGTACTCATGTACATATTTAAATTTCAATAAATAAAATATATTTATTAGTTATTAGATACTTATTATCATCTCATCAACTGTTGGGTACCTACTACCTAGTTAATTTTACCTATAATGGCTATAATTATGCTCATTGCTTGAAATTAGATTTAGAAATATATTAATTATATAAATCGATCATTAAGTATTATGATTTAAGAATGTTTCATGTATTTTAGTAAATTAGGTATACATTTGGGGGTAACACGTTTGGAGCTTCGGGCAAGTTATTAAAAATTTACCTAATTTTTGGAAACACGTTTGGATGCATTTATGAAGGACACGTTGGGCACCATAACAATTTTAAAATAAACAGAATTGTAAGTTGAATAATAAAAATAAATCAAGAAAATATTCATACTAAAGAAAACTAAAAGTGTGTACGAATTTGTATTGGGAAAATTACCAAATCGAAAAAAATACATTAAATTATATAAAAAATAATAGGACGTTTTGCTGCAAATAAAATAAATCAACCACATAAAAAATAGTAGATAATAGCATCTATTATTTAAACTTACAAGTTACAAGTACAAATAATAGTACTATACTAACAATTTTACTATTTTTATTTTATATAATAAAAAGACAATCATAATATTTTATTGGAATAGGTACCTACTATTGAGGCAACCTCGTAATGGTGTTGTCTGAGAAACGTTAATAGGCTCAACATTATATTATACTTATATGCACCCAATCGTCCTTTCACATACAGGGAAGTATTAAGCCCTGCAAACGTACTCTTCCCAGTTCCCATATATTTATAGGTAGTATATAGGTACTTACATAAATAAGTTGATTTAAGTATAATTTATATGGGTGGAGTCGTGGTGGTATTTAAAAAAATATTATATAAATTAGTAATTAGATATTGTAATAACGTAATACTTAAAGATAAAATAGATTATTTCATATTCGTGGAAACTAGAAAAACATATTGATATTTTATTTTTGTAATATATTTTATAAATGATAATTTGTATAGATAATTTCGGGGCTTAAAATTATGCATAATATTTGTGTAGTATGGATAGTGGGTACCTATGGAGTACAAATGATAAATACGTTTCTCTTACAATAATTAATAATTATATACTATTTCGCATGAACTACTACACAGGACTGGACACTACAGAGAAAATCACGGACACAAAGTTGTACAGGGTTCGTACACATGCGATGTAACTGCACTCTGCCTGTTAGTAGTACGAACTACGTTTTTTATAGGATAACACTAAAGAATAGTGATATTAGTGATAATAACTGATAATAAATTTACTTTTTAATTTTTGAAAAACAATTATTAATAACACAGTTCAAGATAATAATGATACTATTTATAGAATATTATCAGAAAATAATTACTGCTTAAAGAGTGAACAGTTTAAGCATGAACTACTAAGGCGGTATTTTATATAACAAAATATTTCTTATCTCACAGATGGCGCTGTGTCGCATGTGTACCGAATATGTACAACTTTGTGGACGACCCCTACTCTCCTCCTGCCAATAGTGTCCAGTCCTGTGTAGTAGTTCATGCTATTTCGTAATGTTTAAAATACTATCCGTGTCAATATCAGCCTTAATTCCTTATTAATGTCTTTATTTTTAAACTATAACTAATGGTTAATTATAACTTTAAAATATACCAAATATATAAATATGTACTTACATATGCTTTACCGAAGGCCACCAAGTTCAAGTCCAAGTATTGTTGTACTTTGCAGAAGTGTGGATGAAGTTGTGACATAATGAAGTCTCTGCTGTCCGGACAATGAGATTCATAGTAAACCGAAACTTTCAACTAAAAAATAAAATCAATGACATTTTGTACTAATTAGATACAGCAGGACAAGTATTTTAAATAGTTTTAGCTTGATAATGGCGAAAAATGGTATGTAGGTTTAATGCCGGAGAGCATTACACAATAATTATACTCTGTAGTCTGTTTATATTAGAGTTAGTAAAAAATCCAAAAATTGCTTGAAATATCCTCAAAAAATATCAAAGTAGGCCCTTAATCAATCAGATGTGTTATATGACTTTGCACAGTTGTATTATTCATTCTAAACAAACTATAAGTATACATTTTTTTTAATTACTAATAATTGTTAACAATATAATATAATTAATTTATGAAAATAATATTATGTTTGTTATGCTTTTAATTTTTAATAATATAATACAATTGACTCATAATGTACCTATTATACAAATATACAATGTATACAAAGAATAACCTGATGTAACGCATAAAAAAATAATTAATATTTTTAATATCCATAAAAATATAAATAATTTCGTTAGAAAACAAAAAACTGCAAAATAAAATGTGATACAAAATTGAATTCTACGTCATAACAAACAGATTTTTTTTAAAAATATGAAGAACAGAGTGCACAGCTAAGAGAAAATCTTTGCAAAAGTCATAAACATCCCGTCCCTATATATACAGTTATGAGTTATAACTCATGAGTCTATAAAAATGGTTTTAGCAAATCGATTGTTGACAAAATATGATGTCAGGTGAAATCTATATATACCTACTTACCGGGGCGCGTTTGATCCTGTCGGCCGAAACCGCAGCGAAAGCCGCCACAGCTACCACGAATATTAAACACTTCATGATTATTTTTTATCGTCCTTTGTGTATTTTTTTTGCAGCAGCAGCAGCTCGCGTACTTGCAGACGGACGGACTGGACTGCGCAGTGATCTGATACGATTTTCGCTCCTCGTGCACTCGCGTGTAGTAAATTGAAACCAGTTTCTTACCGAATACGATTTACACACGACATAATGTAGGTATTATACCTACCTCAGCTATACACGTAAAATATAAATATAATATATATAGACCTAACCTGTGTGTATGATGCGATTCTCTTGCGTAATGGCCGCGTAGGTATACGCACACTTTACACGACATGACCCCCACGAAACGATATTATTATAACGTAGGTACGCATAATAATATTATGTATATATTTCGTCGCCGTTTTCTATACACTTGTGTGTGTGTGTGTGTGTGTGTTTAAACGAATCGGTTTTTGTTGGCAAACAACATGACCTCGTTGTCTCGTTAGAACTAATTATTGTATCGTAATACAGCATATTATAATGGATTTTTATATGTATGCTCAACGCCCATGTGCTTTTCGGAGTTATAGAGCATTAATTTGAGATGACATATTTATTTATATATGTCCCTAGGACCTAGGTACACCAAATGCACGTGTCTACGTAAATTTCTATAGGTACTGGACATGGACTAAAATCAATACAATATATAGCCATATAGGTACACCATTGCAGTAACCGTGCCCGCGACTGCAATAAGTAGTGCAATATGTGACGATTTCGATGAAACTTTATACTATATTAAACTATATTATTATTTAAATTCATGCAATAATTATCGTAGTAATTTGTATTCGTTAAAACTAAGAATTTAGTGCATCTACCATATAAGTTAGTATTGTAACATTCGTTACACTCTATATATATATATATATATATATATATATTATACACTAAACACACAATATAGGATATTAGGATTGACCAATACAACATAAACCCATTACCCACTAAACACTTTTTGACCCATACATATTTACTTATTATTAAAATGACACATGGCGGTTAGACAATAATCATCAACAGGAGCCAACTCACCTATATATATACACTTATTAATAGCCATCTAAATGTTCAGCAAAGTATTATTTTTAATGTAATGATTACTATGGATCTATAAACTAAACGTGTCTTATCATTGATAAAATACCTCATACACAGTGCTCTAACCCCTACGTAGGCCCGGAAAACTTATCCATAACTCATAAGGAATAGAAAACCTTCACTGGATAACTAATAGCGTAACAATAGGTTCCCTCGACCACGTTAAAGTATGTAGTATGCACGCCATGGTTAAATAATAAAGTTGCTACTATTTATATAATATTACCTTTAGTAATATTTATTTTTTTTTTTATTGAGCTTGAGCCCGGCAGCTTAGGCCATAAGCTATTTTTTGTTTTGTTTTTGTTGGTAGAGGGGAGGAACACGTATGTGTTTGTTTTGGCAGAATTTTTGATTTGGGCACCCGTAGGTATCTGCCAAGCCCGGGTGAGGGAGGGCGGCACTTGTTCTCCGGACACCATGACTTCCCCGAAGAAAAATGCCGCCCATGGCCGAGGTATTGAACCGGCGTCGGTGTGTGTCGCAACCGACGCCTTAGTCCGCTCGGCCACTCCGTCCCCCTATAATAATATTCGAATATGTTTAGTCGTAGTTATTAGTTATTAGCCGTTGTTAGTCTACACTCTATTACAGTTAAAACTTCAACAGTTATACCTCATACTTAATGTGTAAAGGACTTTTAAATTAGGAAAAATTAAATTAGTATTTATAGTAGATACCATGTGCAGGCTATGTGGACAGATGTCTCGCATACACAATAAATATTTCCATGATGATATCCAGGGTTGGGCAAGTTACTCAATTTATTGTAAATGGTTACAAGTAATTAGATACTTTTATGTTGAGTACCTAACTAGATGACTTGTACAACCACTGAATATCCAGTGGGTAGATTAATTGTAAAATCCAAAATGAACGATAAAAAAAAATTCTTGACCATGTATTTATAATATTTATTATTTTTTATGATATTGTAACAATAATTTGTGAGGAGCCGTCAACCTTGTATTAAATTTTCAAGCATTTGAGCAACTACTAAAATTTAATTTACATTTATAAAAAAATTTAAATTTAAAAACATCTTAAAAGAGTCAAAGTATTTTGCAAATTTTATGAAGCATAAAAAATGATAAAATAAACATATGGTGTAAATTTCAAGTATCTACGGTTATTAGTTATTGAAAAACAACAAAATAAGAAAATCATCGTTGTATGATAATTTGTTAATTTACGGGAAAGATCCGATATCTAACTTTTTACGTTTTGCAAAAACGTTTGGAAAAATTAATTTGACTTCCCGCTTGGACACTATTTTGTTTTTTTTTTGATATAGGTAACAAAATTTTAAGGAATCTTTGTATAGGTGTAGTAACGTTTTTTTTTTGCTTTTGACGACCACACTTACGAATTATCAAATCACAAAAAGCACAATGTTACTTTTATATAAAGCCCCAGGAAAATGTTTGACTAGTTACAAGTTACAAGTTAAAAGTTACAAAAGTAACCGACTTACATAACTTACTTACATCATTACATGTAACTACGATATTCCCAACCCTGATAATATCATAATAATTTTACTATCAGTATGTATACCTATATTGTGATTTGTGAGAAATTTAATCGTATTTTAAACCAAACTCTTATTTTAGTTTAATTATTTTTATACTTGTTGCCGATAATCGGTTTTATTTTAAGTTTACAAGACATTTTTCACTGTTCAATAATATCTCCAAACTAATATTATTATTTTTTTTTTATTTTAAAAACAAATGGGCAGATGCCCAATTATGAAGTATTTTAATTAATTAATTTGATGACAACAACAATTATCAGGGGATTCAACAAGAAAAACAGATTGTTAATTAATGATAATCAAAACAATAATTTCTGAAATAAAATCTTGTAGTAGATCAAAGTTCATATTTATAAATTGTAATACGATATTCAGTAGAATACAAAGTTATACTATATACGAGAACTACCAGCTACAATACCTATAGATAGTAAAATAAAATTGTTATCTGCTCTTCCGTTATATTAATTATAGGTAGGTACATTATAATAGTATAGGTAGCTTATCTATACCTATATATTATGCTATATTATATACATTCGAAAAGAAAATAGGTCACGTGTTATTACGTAGTCGTTATATTATATAGGTGCAATAAATAATTAAAAACTAATATTTAAATTATCGTTGTGATAATTAATTGAATCTAGGTACCTATAATATAATATATAATTTGGTTTTGTTTCATTACAGGTAGTGGTAGGTAGGGTACTACAGTTTTGGCCTGGAGTAAGGAGTTATGTAGGCATGTCTTATATCTAGAATATAAGATAAAGTTTGTTTTAAGATTCAAATTAGTTTACACGATGTGTATAATTTATTCTCTATTCATTTTCAAACCGTTAACGATTTACATACATAATTACAATGATATCTTTAGTTATATAGATATGAATTTTAATTTTCTAAGTAATATTAATTCAAATTGAAAAGTATAAAAATGTATGCATAGGTATAATGTTATTAAATACCTGTGTGTGGATAAACTTGTAAATATATTAATCATGCGAATATCGTTTCACTGAAACTTAATTTTAATTGACAAAACAGTAGGTATTAGATAATAGGTATACGATTACTAATCGCTAGAGTAATAAAAGTTGTTTACTAAATGACGATGATAATTAATAACAAAATAACACTGAAGACATTTAAAAGGTATCTTCTGTAGATGCGTCAAGTGAAAGAAAAATAGCTACCGGGGAAATTTCGTAAAGGTGTTGGGAAATGATTGTTGAACCTTGAAACATCATAAGAAATAATCAAATTTTATTTAAGAAAACACATAGTTACCTAACGGCATATTTACCTATAAGTTATTACTTATTTACATAAAATTTATTTTATTTGGATATATAAAAATACCGAAGAATTTGCAAGAGTGCCGCCAAGTGGTACCTACTGGCTACCACCTAGCTATAGTTGTACAATGACGTTGTGTTCTACTGGTTTTGCATACAGGTTTTCTGCAAAATAGTTGTTATAACCACTTTATAGTTTATGTCTAATATATACTCGTAATATATAAATCAAAATAAGCGTATGCACGTCTGAAACTCACTTATTCCACACGAGTACAAGACTAAATAATGTAAGTACAAAGTACGATTTAATTTCCATTTCAAACAAAACCGGTTCGTTTTATTAGTTCTTACACAGTTATACACGTCCATAGCGGACACAAAATTTCTGACCATCGATCACAAAAAAAAGTTGGGAATATGCGGAACGGTCGGTGCTTCAGCTCCTAAGCACCCCCTAAATCCACCACTGGTGATCAGTATGGGTCATAGGTTACTAACATAATATAATATAGTCCATATGTATATATCAGCATTCAGCCAATATCATATTAGATTACAAATTATAATTTAAGTATATTATAATTAGATATTGTATATATGTATATATTAATGATAGACATTTTGTTGGCGTATTGTAGTATGAAATTGTTGATCGAATAAACAACATTGGCACTGTCGAAAAGCAGTTAAGAGGAAAGCACTATAAGAACACTATTGGTACAAATATTTACAATGATTAATGATTTATTGTTAGGTATTTGTTCCATCGTATAGATAGGGTTCAACGGACAATAATATATAAATAGTAATGTATAGAATAAATTAAACTGCAATCGCGGTGAACAAAATTATAATATTATGTACTTATAAAAAAATAAGAAATCGTGGTCGTCATGAACTCGTGGTCATCATGGACTCGTGGTCATATATAATATTATGTAATATATTCGTCTGCGGCGGATCGTCATCCTATATTTTCTTCACTTCGTTTCTGGTGTCATCGACCGTCGCGGGTTCGGACTGTTCCAAGGCGGCCGCGGGTTGCTGTACTTGATGAATCGCGTCGGACCCCGTTTCGGGTTGACCTTCGGCAGCGTAAGACGTCAGGTGTTCTTTGATGTGATCGGTTCCGTGGCCGAGTTCCGGTGAAAACAATCCGTGTGGAGGTGAAAATCCTGAAACGTCGATGCACTCGTAATAATATATATATATACGAATAAATACAATAATATAACTTGTGACCGAATACGTGTATGGTGTATATAGGTTAGGACTGTGTCGAGTGAGTGCGATCAAACGAACTTAATCGATCGTTACGGCTAAATTCTAGTCCAAGTAGCTGCTAGGTAAGTAGTTTACATCACTTTGGTAGAGTTTTGGTATATTATTATATGTACCTAGCACTCTGCGTAATTATTTTTCAGGTAACATTTGACCCTAGTTTATTACAGTGGGTACGTACGTATAATACTATAATATTTAATACCGCCCAAACATATTATTATACATTCTGATATCTGCCAAACTGTATAATATTATGTCTTAGAGCGAGTGCACTACAGTTTACTGCAGTTTCAGAAGCGCAGATAATAAATTTAAAAAAATAATTATATTATATACGAATATAATACTGAAGACGTTGCAATAATATGTTAAGCCGCCGATAGTTGTTGCCCATCACTTTAATATATTTACTAAAAACTTAATTAATAATTTAAATGTGCAGTGCTTGAACAGCAAACGACTGTCGACCGAATGCCGATGTAAAAATATTATGTATGATAAACGGATTAGTCACATGCCACATGGACACTTGAATAATTTGTGTTTATGCATACAATTTTGACGATGCCACATCGGGCTTGTGGATTTCGGTCAAGTTCAACATTTTTAAAAGCCAAACAACACTATCGAGTCACACTTTCGGCATCAGGTCGACGTTGACCTATAATATATTATTTTACTTACTATATTATAATATATATTACGTATAAAAAACCCACATGCAATTTGCAAGGTCACATTATTTCTGTGGAAATCAATTTTATGGGGTCAGAATTTTTTTTAAGTGGCATTAACAATTTTTTTTATTTTGTTATTGATATAGTATAATATTCGTATAAATTATACATAAATACAAAACGAATGGCATCATAAATATGAAAATAATGTTCGTTGGCGATTTACTTAAAAATAATAATATTTCTATTATTTACTTCTATAGCCTTATAGGCCTCAGTATTAGAACTATATAGTTTGTCAAGCATATTTATGCACTTATGCGCGTACAGTACTGCAGCGTGAACAACGCTCGTTACTAGACGTATATCGCTTATAATTACTCTGTTATATATATAATCAGCTAATCAGCTGTATTCTTTGATTTTGATAATATTTTACTTGGAAAAAAAACAGTAGGTATGGACTTAAATTTACTTATCTGCAAATGCCCTTGTAAACTCACGAGGGTGTTTAGACTTACCGGAAGCAATGGTATGCGATATGGCCCACGTTATCCCGTTGGCGACGTTGGTCAACAGCGGCCCGATGATGGCACCCACCAGCGGGGCGAACGCGCTGCCGATGGTCAGCAGCAGATGGATTAGCGTGGAAATAGCTTGGAAGTGTTGCGGCTTGTGGCCGTCGTTGTGGTGGTGCACTTCCGTTTTCCGGCCGCCCGCCGAGGCACCACCGATCATCAGGGACCCGACAGTCGAGTCGAGTAGTGTGTCCCGGACCGTCTGATCCTCGGCCGACTTGACCGTCTGCGTCTGCGGTCTCGGGGACGGCGCGGCCAGCAAGTGTGCGGCCAGTGCCATCACGGTCACCATCAGCCGCAAGTACCTGAACTAAACGCGGTAGGAAAACGGTTATAATATTATGTGTTGTTTGTAAGATCTGCTTGTATAGTATTAATTTTATACCACTCCAGGGTGAATACTATAAGCTTGCTCACCCCCTTTTTTTCAATAATACAGTTATTCAAAATTGTGTTAAAAGGAAAGCTGTGTTTTATCGTTTATAAACTGTTGTAATAAACACACAATTTTGTGGAAGCCTATATTATAGTGACTACTAAGCTCTAAGCCTGCAACCTCCAATTAGTGTCTTGAATAACGTTAGACTCAATTCAATATTACCAGGTATCTACGTTATGGTTTACCAGGTCTCGATATAAAGAAATAACAGGTAGTGGAGCCTATAAACATCGTTTTAGCATTTTCGGGAAATATAAATAATTATTTAGACAATTTTTTCCAATATGACAAAGTTATAGCGGGTAATGCGAACTTAAAAAAATTCATAGGTATAATATTACACGAATGCGTGCAAATAAGTTACGTCGCTAAGAAGTTCAAAAAAATATAAAACCATATATTAAATTACAATTTGTGTTTCATTTCCTATTTTAGTTTAATAGTTATTATAATTTATAGGTACCTATTAGCTAATATAGTAGCTATAATGCATAGGTGACATAGTGATTGCCTGTTTTTGATTCGCTATCAAGGTATTAGATATTATGAATGCACTCGATAATAATTCTTGTACATCTATCTCTACTTTTGTGATATTAACATTTTCCAAATTGTCCAAATTTAAATGTTAGTTTGTTACTTTCGTTCCGGTTATCTACCCATGCTATGTAATATATTATCCATATACCTAATAATGTACCTACAAGTGCTACAACTAAAAAAAAAGTTCACAATGACACAGTACTCAAGATTTAAAGCTATTCAGTGCGTAGGTAATGGTTGAAGTGGGAGGGGGGAAGACGGAGGAATTGACATCCCTCTACTTTTTTCGTCAAAAATAATGTATCCCCCTTATAATTAATTTCATATAATATGAGAACTGTATAAAATATGAAAAGCATCCCTCCACGTATTTTGAGTCACTTCGACCACTGAGTGTAGGTATATACAATAAACAGATAAATACCTATGCCTGCAGTGAAACAATATCGAAATGTTTAATTTTATTAGGTACCCTATCGTGCTGGTGCGCTATATAAACTTATATTGTGTATTGTGTAGCTCATATATAATGTTTATGTACTTACGGTCATTTTTCTTCGAAATTGTCTTGAGCCTGCTATTCACAACGATTATTTTAATTTGACAGTATATTACAACTCTAGTATGGTTTTTGAGTCGACGTTGAAATGATACCGTAAACTGGAAAGGTCGGGGTTTTTATAATATTATACAAAATCGATTACCATGACCCATGTCCACTATTCGGTATAATTATTTACTAATTACACTATCAAGCCTGTAAATAGTATTTTAATTGACTAAGTACTTAGTGAAGTGTTCAATATCCGATTAACAATTAGTACAGTTTCCCGTTACATTCGATTGTTATACTCTCAAAAACATAATTTAATAGTGAAAAGGCTTATAGTGGACTAAATGAAGCATTAGTCAAGTAACTGTATATATAATGTGTAATTATAATTAATTTACCTTCAACTATATATGTATGCATAATGCATATTGTGTATGTTTTCAGATTTTTTATTGTTTTCCATATAATAAGTGACGAAAAGTAAAAAAACTATTACCCAAGAACAGCTATATCTAAATATCTAATAATTGTATAATGTATATTAACTGTAGGGCTGTTTTTGCTGAGGAGATATTATATGATTCGTAAATCGATTTTCTTATTGTGAGTTCAATAGGTATTTAATAGTTATTTAAACAGTACTCTGTATTAGTTATTAAATTCATGTCACTGAATAATCAGATATTATAATGATAGTGAGTAAATAATTAAAATATTAATATTTTATTTTATGTTTTACCTAAAAATATATTATATCTTTTGGTAAACTGTATACATTAATACACTATACATGTAAACCAAATTTTAAAAAAAAAAACTGGACACAATAATTTGGATACTTATATTTAATTAGTTGGATAATGACTATAGGTATATTATGCACTTTTTTGTTTGTTAGATTTCATTGGCAGTCATTACATTCTATAGTTTAGGATTTGTTCTTCCTACAATCCTGCCCAAGGAATTAGAGTTCATCAACATTTAGGTATCTTTGGATTTTATGATTGGACCTATTATCAACAAAAATGAACGTTCGTTAAATATAAAAGACCTAACAAATGATATTAAGTATAATAAATAGTAATAATATGCTTAATGCTTATCTAGGTAGTATCTATATGTTTACAGTATTTTGATTAATTGGAAAATCAGTAGCTATAATTCAAAAAGTAGTAATTGGGAATATTTTAGTACAGTTTATTAATTGAATACAACATGATCATAGCTTCCTAGTTCCTTTGTACCATAATTATAAGAAAAATTTCATACAATTGTCAATTTTTTTATTAACATATTTTTTAAATTCTAAATCATTCACTTTATACTTTTATAGAGTGATTTATTATTAATATTGAAAAAAAAAACAATTTTGAAATTAATCGAGTTTTCATTGAATAAAAACAGTTCATAGTTTCAAAAATAGGTAGATACAACAAATTGTTAAGTTTTACGGTTCTCACACGTATTAATAGATAGCTATTTTAAATCCAATGACGAACCCTCTACTCGTTGATATTTTGTTGGTTTTATAATAATTTTTGAAAATGCACACCATGAATTGCAATTCTATTTAAATTAATTGTACATATAGCTACTAACATGACAATAGATGCGTTGCGTTCTAAACCTCCGATGTCCATGTCTTATCTGAGGAAACATTTAAATTTTTCATATAAAGTATAAATATTAAATAGTCTAAAGTATTTAAAGTACCCTAAATAATACAATAAGGAATACTGATTATAATATTTATTTATTTGGTAGGTAAACTGATATGACTGATATTTATACGTGTATTCAGTGATAAGTGTAAAACTGTTTGCGGATCTCGTAGGTACATCATAATTTTAAAATCAATAAGTGGTGCATAATGCAGGATCTTAAGTATGTGTTTAAAACATAGTTTTATATAAGTTTTAATTTTATTTCACTTTATTATTAATTTAATACCAAAATATCAAAATTAAATTTTCTATCCCGGAGTTTTTATATTTATACATTGTATACAAATAATAATATAAGCATTTTTGGACTTGTAGGTAAATCGTGGTAAAAGAATGGCCATTAGCCGAATATTAAATTGAAAAACTGCGCTATAATATTCGCATTACATTTTTAATTAGGGCTACTGGCTTTCCAATTAATTAACAGATAAGTAATTACGTCGGGTTATGAGCTTGACAATATATTTATTACTTGTCTTCTACGTCGTTCATAAATCATAATAATACAAGTATATATTTCACATCATACTATTTAGATTCGTGGGAAAGCAAGGACTTTGACGTGTTTTTGATGTCAGTTCCCTTATAAAAACCCTTTTTCATATTAAGAGAAACTGAAAACGAAAACATGGATACAAATGGTGATCAAGAAGATAATATGTTTAAGAACGAAGAGTTAAAGCCACAAATTGGTTTAAATAAAATACTATACTTTTCAAAATCGTATCCACTTAGAGCATCCACTTAGAGCAGATGAATACCCTTAGATCACTTCACAGAACAAAACAAAAATAGTTTTAAATTTTGTTTGATCTTATGTTTATAGTTGTATTGGCGAATAAAAAAAAAATATTTATATATATTTTATAATTTCAGTTAAACTTTTATAACACTATTTATTAATGTTTCGGACATTTAATATTATCGTTTAATTTCTACGTGTTTGATTAAAAAAGTATATATCCTAATTATGTAGTGATTATAGTTAAATGTTTATGAAGTATACCATCATGATAAAACTGTAATATCAATCAATTAAAAATTTTAAATATTTAAAATCGATTTATTTTTCCATTCTAAAATACAGTTATTTATTTTTAGGAATCGGATCCGATAGTATTACAGTACAGCTGGCGGTGGATACATTTTATGAATTTATGTATTATAATACAGACTGGTTTTGAAGTCGGTCGTGAGTCCATACAGTCGACGCAGTTATTTATAGTTAATAGCGGCAATTCTATTGTCAGCAATATTACGATCTACCAATGTCCACATTGGTCGTTAGTATGAACTTCGCCATTTCTGTGACCTCCAAGCATCTAGGTTTTGTTTTAGTTTTAACGTTATAAGTTATAACAGATTGAACGCATTAATTTTCATTGTTCGTTTTCTTCTCGCACGCGGTCGTGATATTATTATAAAAATGCCTAAATGGTATTCTGTATAACACGTTAAGCTCTAGCCTTAATTCCTTCCCCTAATATTGTATTATGTTATGTTATATATGTTGGAAGTATAGTCACGCATTAATAAGTTGTAACTTGATTTAATTTCAATTAAATATTTAATTATTACCAATGTAATGTTATGTGTTTTTAAAATTTCAAACTGAAAACTAAAGGAGTACAAATTTAAATTGTTATATTATAATATAAGTTCACTATATTATAGTAAACTTATACAATAGAAATACAAAATAATCGAGGTTAACAAGGAACGCCTACTTTAAAATACAGTTTCGATAGGAGTCAGGAGTCACTTCGCATTTTTAATTGAATACAATTATCATCATAATATATTGAATTTATATTTATAATTTAATATTTATTAATTGTTAAAATGATCCCAATAAAGAGCGTAGTAGTTTTATAAGACACCATTTTATTTTTTTATAACATTTAAATAATTAATAAATACACATGCACAAGTATAAAAATGTTTGAAATCTGTCTTTTGAATAGGAGTTCTTAAAAAAAAAACCAAATAATTATGAAAATGTGAATTAAACAGACTAAGTG